CAGAAAGTGGTTCGTTGGTTGAAATTTGATTAGCAATACATTAGAGATARTAAATAGTAAAATACTTTTTCGACTACCAAATATTTCAGATATTTCGAGACTAGTAGATATTCTTAATAAACAACGAGAACCATGATTGAGTTGTAATTCTTTTTCTTCTTAATTGGCGTAGACAGTCGTTTCTTCTTTTCGCTACGTGGGGCCAATTGGATATTCCCAGGGTAGCCAGGTCCTTCTCCACCTGTCCTTCCAACGGAGTGGAGGTCTTTCTCTTCCTCTGCTTTCCCCGGCGGGTACTGCGTCGAATACTTTCAGAGCTGGAGTGTATTCGTCCATCCGGACAACATGACCTAGCCAGCATAGCCGCTGTCTTTTAATTCGCTGAACTATGTCAATGTCGTCGTATATCTCGTTCAGTTCATCCTTCCATCGAATGCGTCTCGAAAACTCCTAAAGCCGACTCATCAGATACTGTCTCTTATACACATCTAGATGTGTATAATATATTAATTATATATATATCTCAAAGGACATTAGACAATGGTAACTCTATATATACTTTTTTTTTTAATTTGAAGAATCTCATCTATCCGTACATACCAATTTTAACCACGAAATCGGGGATGCTATTCTGAAATTCAGGCCTGATTTTAAAGCAACATAATCCCAAATTAATTTATTACGTTTGTTGATTTTTGTTGTAACGTATATCTTTGTTCTTTATATCCGCCGTTATAAAAAATTCCAACTTATTTCAATGTAATATAATCCTACAATCAATTATTGCATTTCCTGTTTGTAAATAGTGTTCCACTCAATTCCAGGAATTTCATATGATCTGATTAAATTTGGAACGTAGTTCAGCCAAACTATTGCGAATCCACAGCATCGAGCGCATTTATATTTGTTAGTAAAAGATTGATTTTGTTTTGCTAGCTTTAGAAATAGTTCATAAATTTTAGTCTTTGTGTCGCAGTGCCCGAGTTCGGTTCATCAAGTCGGTAATAATCAAGCTAACTATACTGATTTTGATTAAATACTGATCGGAAAATTAGCTGTAGAAGAAGAAAGTGCGAAACTTTTAGGCAAAAGTGAGGAAAAGTATAAAATAGTTTAAAATGCCTGGATATTAGAAAAGAAGAGATCGGACAGATTCTTCCATAACATATAATTATAGTATTTCCAATTTTACGATATTAAAGAAATCAATTATTTCAAAATGCCCGCAAAATAGAAATTTGAACAGTTCAAATAACAAAATAACATATTTTAGCATTAGTATTAAAGGGTGTAGTTTTTATCTAATTATTTTTTCTTCCTTTCGTTGATTGTTTTCGGTACATGCATGAAGGTACTAGAAAATATGTGACATTAAGCTTGGTACTATGTAGGGTCGTCGTTTCGCTATACCAAGTGCAGCAAGGTTCTGCTCCACCTGATCTCTCCAACGAAGTGGAGGTCTTCCTATTCCTTTGCTTCCACCGGAGGATGCTGAATCGAAAACCTTCGAAGTTGAAGGATTTTTTTCCATCCAGACAAGACGACTTAGTCAGCGCAGCCGCTGTCTCTTGATTCACTGCGCCATGTCAATAAAGTCGTATATCTCGTGCAGTTCGTCGTTGCATCGACTGCGGCACTCGTCGTTGCCAAGGCGAATCATAAAACTCCGCAAAACTTTTTTCTCGAGCATTCCTAAGGCCGACTCATCAGATGATGTCATTGTCCCTGCTTTCGCACCATATAGCATTACGGGAATGATTTGAATTTGGTCTGTGTTTGTCAAGAGAGTACTTTTCTTTTTAGTTGCCTATTCGGCCCAAAGTAGCACCTGTTTGCAAGACTAATTCTGTGTTGGATTTCAAGGCTCTATCTTATAACTGCTTAATTGTCTACAGCAAAATTAACTTTTTTGTTTTCCCGCTGACATAAAGCCTTTATAGCTCTAAATCTTCACGATCTCTTGCATATTTCGTTACAAAACACGTACAAAAGTATATGTTATACCGAAATCAATAACTGATCCGTAAACTGTACTCATAATCTGCCATGATTTCTAAATAAACTCAAATATTTTCAGTTTACTTTTTCTCACTGCTTGATGAAATATGATATCATTTTCACGTTTTACCGCTAATAAATTCTGATTCTTCGCAAGCTTATCGCATAATCCGGCGTACTTTGCTTTTTTATCAACTAATAGTGTGAAGAGTAAATAAATTTTACCTTTTTCGGTTCTCTGTTTTTGCGCTGGGCTGTGCGTTTATGAGCACTGTAGCTAATTTATGAAGTCCTCCGCCGGTGGATATACTCGTTTAGTGCAAACTGCCAGCACAAATGTCAGCAAATAAATCACAATTTTAAAGCAAAACAACAATCGCTGCTAAAACATTGAATTTCTGGCCGCTGAGCAGCCGAAAGCAAAAGTTAAAACACAAACAACTACAAAAACAATAGTAGCAAAAAGCAACCCACAACTTGTCGCCAGGGAATGCCCACTACGGAAAGAAGGTCACAACTGCGGCGTTGGCGACAACGGTAGATTTTTACTCATTTTTGGGTCATAAAAATAATAAACGAACAAACTAAATAAAGCAAATTGTTGAAGGATAACATTTAAAATGGCTGTGGGAAAAAAGCAACTACGCAAAGCGGTGAATTTGGGAAGGGAAACGAAATTAACATAAATATAGGGAATACTATTTTTCGGTAGAAGGTAAGGTGTGCCGCCCACTAACATTGAAAATATCGTTTTAAATAACGCGTTAAAGTACCAATAATAGAGGGAGGAAAAATACAAACAAATATGTGTTCTGTTGGCGTTGAGTTGAGCAGCTCATTAGAGGCTACCAACGGACGCCTACTTACGCTAGCGCTTTCGACCAACATCATCTGTTAGGCTTTTATAGTTTATGCTTTTTACTCTTGTTTCTTGACGCGTATGATATAAAATTACATACAGTGACCTGTATAATAAAAAAATATTTACGAAATATTCCAGTAGATGAGAAGTAATATTGGTTGGAAATAAATATACATATGTGTTTGAGAATATTTTGAAAATGTTTGTAAAACAAAAAAAAAAAATAATAATAATAAATAGGATTTTCGAATAAAAGAGATTTAAAGCTAGAGCTGGCAAAGGTACGCCATTTCCTGAAAAATATTTTTAACCATAATATTTTTTTCATATTATATACTGTATGTCATCTACAAATCCTATTTACACCATGTTGTTTTTTATATACCAGTATCTGAACTCAAAAAGGGATAATCTCCTTGAACGCCAAACAGAAAAAAAACCTTTGAAAGGTTAACGTTTTTTATGTAAGTAAACATGAGAATGGGGATTTAGAGTGATTGGCTATCAGAGAAGCTAAAGCTAATCTAAATAAGTAAATAATAACAGCTATAGTAAGCGAAGTTTAAAAACCTAACCATAGTAAACAATTTAGTAAAACTAGTAATACACGTATCAATTTATCACACCGCCCTTCTGAGAAAGCAAGCATTTTTATTGAAGTAATCCTTTTGGGATTGCCGGCTTAATCCAGCGAATGTGTGAGTGAGTGCTATACTTGACTGTGGCTGTTTTATTGAACTAATTTCTGTTGCTGAAAGGCTGAAAGGTTGACGCTAAGGCAAACTTTGTGGTCTGGGGTGCTAAGTCAGTGTTGTTCGAAGCCAGAAATGATTTTCAGTGAAGACCTTTGCCTTGAAAAGCAGTTCATTTAATTGAGCTTAATTTAGCCACGGGTTTTCAAGCACACAAAAATCACTTACATGCACATACGTTTACATACATATATTGCTTCCTTCCTAGTCATTTAATTCTGAGCCACTCTCCAAAGGGATTTGGCTACATTGTATGTCATTTATTTCGTCTGGCATGGTCAGTGGTCTCCTATGTGCCCTTTGCCTCTAACCTCATTTTAAATAATCGTAGTTTACCTTTTATCTGCTATTCCATGTAGGCTGGCATTCAAAACAGTCTATCACTTTCTAAATTTAATTCTATGTGTGTATGTATTGAAGTTTTATTCCCAAATGAGCCAACACACGTGCTACAGTTTTAGATATAGAGTATCTATATTATTCACTACTTTGTGGGTGTAATTTTTTCACGCCCAATTTAATAAACATTTATAGTGAAATTAAGCTATTTAGCATATGCTCCCTTTTAGACCTCTGGGGCTGATAGAAAGGTTCCGGTTAAGTGTAACTGGGTCAATTTACTGGTAAATAAATGAAGYTAATTTTAAAATTTTCATTAACACATTAACTGCTGAGATGTSTGCTTGATAAAAGCAGGTTGAAAATTTTTGATGGGATAAAAAAAATATGTAAATTTATTGCTTATTTTTAAACAAATTATGGTTATATTGGGCAGCCGAAAATTTTTTTTCGTATTTTGTCAATAGA